GTACAATCCATACCTCCCAAAATTGAACCCGGACCCTCGGCACAGCAACGTCAGGGACCCCCTGGGTTGCTGGATGTCCCCCCCGCACTCCAGCAGGGTCACGGCCGCCCGGAGCCCTGCGGGACAAAGGGGAGATGGGTACGGGGCTATGCAAAAGTCGGGTGGAGCTGTGGAATTTATTAATGGGTGGATTGGGGCTAATTTCTGGGTTGAAGGCACTTTACAATACTGGAATCCTCTGTTGGAGAATTGGGGCCAGACAAACGGAATTTGGGGCAAAACTGGTGAAGGTTTGAGGATGGGGAAGAGGCCGTGACCCTGCTGGAGTCCAGAGGGGACCTCCAGCCCCCCAGGGGATCCCTGCGCCTCCTTTTGTGAGGGACCGGGTTCAGTTTAGGGAGTTTCTCCATGTACTGGATTCGCCAGACACCCGGGCAGGGGTTGGAGTGGCTCGCAGGCATCTGGGGCCATGGTGGAGACACCCGCTATGTGCCGTCGGTCAAGGGCCGGTTCACGATCTCCAGGGACAACGGGCAGAGCTCGGTGACGCTGACCATGAACAGCCTCAAGGACGAGGATTCCGCAACCTATTTCTGTGCCAAGGGTGCTGGTGCTCATTGGGCTGAAAGTGCTGGTCGTAGTGACAATGCCCAAGGTGTCCCCATCTCCGTGTTCCCCCCCCCCCCATCCCCGTGTCCCAGACCCTTCCCCCAAGCCCCCAGCCCACACCCAGCCCTTGACCATTGATCCCAACCTTGCTCTTCCTCGGCCCCAGTTCTCACCCGCTGACCCCAAACCCCAACTCCTGATGCAAAATCTCCTCTTTCTGCCCCAAACCTTTTCTCTGAAGGTTGGGGTTTGATGCCCAGGGTCCCGATTTGGGGACAAAGGTTGAGGATTCGTGTCAGCAGCTCTGGCTGGGAGCACAAAGTAGGGATTTCGGGAAGAAATGGGTGATTTTTGTAGCCAAAGCGGTTGGGTTTGGGGCAGAACCAGTCGGGGGTTTTGGCTCAGTGGTTGGTGGTGTTGGAAATCAATGAGATTTGGCACAAAGGGTCAAGAATGGGGTTAAGGGCTGAGATTTGGGGGAAGGGCCTGGGATTTGGGGACAGGAGGGGACCCAGACAAGGGGAAGAGGCCAAGAGCAGAGACATCATTACCCCAACTGGAACCAGCAGCCTTGGCACAGAAATAGGATCCGGAATCCTCGTCCTTGAGGTTGTTCAAGGTCAGCGTCACCGAGCTCTGCCCGTTGTCCCTGGAGATCCTGAACCGACCCTTGACTAAACCCGCATACCCAGTTGTAACCACCACTGCGGATCCCCGTTAGCCACTCCAGCCCCTCCCCGCGTCTCTGGCGGATCCAGCACATTGCATAATCCCCAAAACTGAGCCCGGACCCTCAGCAGAGGAGGCGCAGGGACCCCCCGGGGGTCTGGAGGTCCCCCCCAGACTCCAGCAGGGTCACGGCTGCTCCCCCAACCCCAAACCTTCACCGGTTTTGCCCCAAATTCCCTTTTTTTGTCCCCAAACATCCAACAGATGTATCCTGAATGGTAAAGTGCCTTAAACCGTGCAATTAGCCCCATTCCACCCATTAATTACTTGGACAGCTCTGCCTGACTTTTGCATCGCCTCATCCCCATATCCCCTTTGTCCCGCAGGGCTCCGGGAGGCCATGACCCTGCTGGAGTGCGGGGGGGCACCTCCAGCCCCCCGGGGGGTCCCTGACGTTGCTGTGCCGCGGGTCCGGGTTCCATTTTGGCAATTTTGGGATTGCCTGGATCTGCCAGATAACCGGGCAGGGGCTGGAGTGGGTCGGAACCATCACCAGCAGTGGTGGCGTCACCAGGTACGCGGATTCCGTCAAGGGCCGGTTCAGGATCTCCAGGGACAACGGGCAGAGCTCGGTGACGCTGGCCATGAACAACCTCAAGGACGAGGATTCCGCCATTTATTTCGGCGCCAAGTGTGCTGCTAATAATTACCCTGAACATGCTGCTTGTAGTGACGATGCCCATGGTTTCCCCACCCCCATCCCTGTGTCCCCCTCCGTGCCCGTTCCCCAGACCCTTCCCCTAGACCCCCAGCCCACACCCAGCCCTTGACCATTGATCCCAACCTTGCTCTGCCTCCGCCCCAATTCTCACCCGCTGACCCCAAACCACAACTCCTGACCCCAAATCTCCTCTTTGTTCCCCAAAATTTTGCTCTGAAGGTCGGGGTTTGAGGCCCAGGGTCCCGATTTGGAGACAAAGGTTGAGGATTTGTGTCAGCGGCTGCTGCTTCAGGGAGCAAAAGTGGGGATTTGGGGCAGGTTCGTGCGATTTTTGGTGCCAACTTAGTTTGGTTTGGGGCAGAAGCGGTTCGCATGTTTCGGCTCCGTGGTTGGTGGTGTTGGAAATGGGGGAGACCTGGGACAAAGGGTCAAGAATGGGGTCAAGGGCTGAGATTTGGAGGAAGGGTCTGAGATTTGGGAACAGGAGGGGCTCAGAAATGGCGATGTCACCACCGGCACAGTCAGTATAAGCAGCAGCAGTGCTACCAGTGCTGTAAGATTTGGCACAGAAATAGGATCCGGAATCCTCATCCTTGAGGTTGTTAAAGGTCAGCGTCACCGAGCTCTGCCCGTTGTCCCTGGAGATCGTAAACCGGCCCCTGACCGAATCTGCATAGTAGGTGCTGCCACTGCTGCTGATTCTGGCGACTGGCTCCAGCCCCTGCCCAGGTCTCTGGCGATGCCAGCCCATCCCAAAACTGCCAAAATCGAACCCAGACCCTTGGCAGAGGAGGCGCAGGGACCCCCCGGGGGGCTGGAGTTCCCCCCCGGGCACCAGCAGGGTCACGGCCGCCCGGAGCGCTGCGGGACAAAGGGGAGATGGGCACGTGGCGATGCAAAAGTCGGGTGGAGCTGTCAGATTAATTAATGGGTGGATCTGGGTTAATTTTTGTGTTGAAGGCACTTTACAATACTGGAGTCCTCTGTTGGAGAATTGGGGTCAGATAAAGGGAATTTGGGGCAAACTGGTGAAGGTTTCGGGATGGTGAAACGGCCGTGACCCTGCTGCAGTGCGGGGGGGACCTCCAGCCCCCACGGGGATCCCTGCGCCTCCTCTGCCGAGGGTCCGGATTAGATTTTGGCAGTTTTGGGATGGGCTGGCATCGGCAGAGACCCGGGCAGGGGCTGGAGCCAGTCGCCAATATCAGCAAAAGTGGCAGCACCTGGTACGCGCCATCGGTCAAGGGCCAGGTCACGATCTCCAGGGACAACGGGCAGAGCTCGGTGACGCTGACCATGAACAACCTCAAAGACGAGGATTCCGGATCCTATTTCTGTGCCAAATCTGCTTATGGATGTGGTGCTTATGCTGCTGCTGATATTGACCCTGCCGGTGGCGGCACCACCATTTCTGACCCCTTCCTGTCCCCACTCCCCAGACCCTTCCCCAAATCTCAGCCCTTGACCGCATTCCTGACCCTTTCCCCCAGATCTCCCCCATTTCCAGCAACGCCAACCACGAAGCCACAAAGCCCTTACTTGTTCTGCCCCAAACCATAGTAAGTTGGCACCAAAATTCGCCCCAAATCTCCACTTTGTCCTCAAATCGCCCCCTGCTCCTCGAGCCCTGATTGGCTGAGCTGGAAAAGGCAAAAATGGGAACTCTTGGAGAGCAAGATCAGACCTGGAGCTCAGGGGTGAAGGTTTGGGGCCAATGGTTGAGTTTTTGGGCAGGAGCAGGGCAGGGTTTTTGGTCAGTGCTGACCATTGGTGCAAATGGGGACAAAGGGTCAAGGGCTGGGTCAATGGGTGACATTTGGGATGAAAATCACAACTCTTGGGACTCAATGATGGGAGTGGTGCCAGAACCAGGAGCTGGACACCATAACGTGCATCATCAACATAACCAGCACTAGGAACACAAACAGAGCATGAAGCTTTCCCACAGAAATTGGATCCGGAATCCTCGTCCTTGAGGTTGTTCATGGTCAGCGTCAGCGAGCTCTGCCCGTTGTCCCTGGAGATCCTGAACCGGCCCTTGACCGATGGCGCATAGAAGGTTCTGCCACCACTGCTGTAGATCCCTGCAACATATTCCAAAGCCTGCCCGGGTCTCTGGCGGATCCAGTAAATTCCATAATGCCCAAAACTGAAGCCGGACCCTGGGCACAGCAATGTCTGGGGCCCCTGGGGGGCTGGATGTTCCCCCAGACTCCAGCAGGGTCACGGCCGCCCGGTCCCGCCCTGCGGGACAAAGGGGAGATGGGGATGGGAAACCTGATTGGTGAAGAGTGCCCAAGTTGGCATTGCATGATTGAAAAAGGGGTGGGACCCCTGTAGGAGGAGGATGATGAACTCCAAGGGTTCCAGTTTGGGGCCAAGGGTCAGGATTTGGGTCAAGGGTTGAGCTTTGGCCCCATCCCCATCTCCCCTTTGTCCCGCAGGGCTCGGGGCGGCCGTGACCCTGCTGGAGTCCAGGGGGGACCTCCAGCCCCCCGGGGGGTCCCTGTGCCTCCTCTGCCAAGGGTCCGGATTCAATTTCGGCAGTGTTGCCATGAACTGGATCCGCCAGAGACCCGGGCAGGGGCTGGAGTACCTTGCAGATATCAGTAATGGTGGTGGCAGCACTGATTATACGCCGTCGGTCGAGGGCCGGGTCACGATCTCCAGGGACAACGGGCAGAGCTCGGTGACGCTGACCATGAACAACCTCAAGGACGAGGATTCCGCACCTATTTCTGTGCCAAATCTCCTGGTACTGGTGGTGCTGGAGTAATTATATTTAGAATGCCAGTGATGGCCCCATCACCTGACACTGGGCTCACAGACATCCCAAAATTCCTACTTTTACCATCAACTCTTTGCCCTTGTCAACAAACCTTGACATTTTTCCCCCAATCTCCACCATCATTGCCTCACCTCTCACATTTCTATTGCAACTTTAGGCATTTGACCCAAATCTCACCTGTTCATGCCTAAAACAGTGCCCTTTGCACCCCAGATCTCAGCGGGGTTCACTTGTGACCATTGGCCCCAAGCTCAGCTGGTTCTGCCCCAAATCTCAGCTCCTGGACCCAAACATCAGGTCTGGGCCCCAAACCTCAGCCAAGGTCTGCAAATCTGGGTGCAAATGGTTGAGATTTGGGGAAAATGGTCCAGATTTGGTTCGGTGGGGGTCAGGGATGGGGTCAAGGGCTGGAGGGAATGGTCTGGGGAATGGGGACAGGTGGGGACACAGGGATAGGCACGGGTCAATGGATTCGGGAGTACCAGCAGCAATGTTAGTGCTGGACCCCTTGGCGCAGAAATAGGATAGGATCAGGAATCCTCGTCCTTGAGGTTGTTGACGGTCAGGGAAATGGAGCTCTGCCCGTTGTCCCTGGAGATCGCCACCCGGCCCCGCAGTGACGGCGCGTAGTCGGTGCCACCGTGGCTGTCGATGGCGGCCACCCACTGCAGCCCCTTCCCGGGGCTCTGGCGGATCCAGTGCAGATCAGAACGACCGAGACGGAACCCGGCCCCCCAGCAGAGGAGGCGCAGGGACCCCCCAGGGAGATGGGGATGAGGCCAAAGCTCAACATTGACCCAAATCCTGACTCTTGGCCCCAAACTTGGACCCTTGGAGTTCCTCATCCTCCCCCCATGTAGGTCTCGATACTTTATCAAGCTTGATCCTCCCAGTTTGCAGCCCTCGACCAATCAGGTTTCCCATCCCTATCTCCCCTTTGTCCCGTAGGGCTCCGGGCGGCCGTGACCCTGCTGGAGTGCGGGGGGAAGCTCCAGCCCCCCGGGGGGTCGCTGCGCCTCCTCTGCCGAGGGGCCAGGTTCCATTTCGGACAGTCTGGAATGATGTGGATCCACCAGAGACAGGGGCAGGCTCAGGAATGGGTTGCAGGGATCAGCAGTGGTTCCTACACCGCATACGCACCATCTGTAAAGGGCCAGTTCACAATCTCCAGGGACAAGGGGCAGAGGTCAGTGACGCTGACCATGAACAACCTCAAGGACAAGGATTCCGGATCCTATTTCTGTGCAAAGTCTCCTTATGCTGGTTCTAATTACGAAGCTTATGGTATTGATGTTGGTTTCAGCCCTGCCTTTCTTGATGGGTTCCCAAATGCCCCGAGTCCTCAGACCCTCCCCCCAAACCTCAGCCCTTGGCCCCTTGTCCCAAATCTCCCCCATTTGCACCAAGTGTCAGCACTGACCCCAAACCCTCCCCTGCTCCTGCCCCAAAACTCAACCATTGGCCCCAAACCTTCACCCCTGGCCTCCAGTTCAGGCCTCCTCCAATCAGGGCCTGGGGAGCTGGGGGAGATTTGGGTGAAATGGGCAAAACTGGGGGAAAGCCGATAGTTGGGGCAGCAGGGGCGGAGTTTGGATGGAACTGGTGAAGATTTGATGAACAGAGCTGGGAGTCGGGGAAGGATCTCTGGGGATTTGTGGGTAGTTGGGACTGCAATGGGGCTGGGGCCACGGCAGGAATTGTCAATACAAGCAGGACCAGCAGAACCATAACCATTACTGCTACGTTTGGCACAGAAATAAATGGTGGAATCTTCGTCCTTGAGGTTGTTCATGGTCAGCGTAACCGAGCTCTGCCCGTTGTCCCGTGAGATCGTGACCCGGCCCTTGACCGATGGCGCGTCATAGGTGTTGGCACCATTGTAGTAGATGCTTGCGAAGTATTCCAAAGCCTGCCCGGGTCTCTGGTGGATCCAGAACATGGAGAAAGTCCCGAAATCGAACCCGGACCCTCGGCAGAGGAGGTGCAGGGAACCCCTGGGGGGCTGGAGGTCCCCCCCACACTCCAGCAGGGTCACGGCAGCCCGGAGCCCTGCGGGACAAAGGGGAGATGGGGATGAGAAACCTGATTGGTCGAAGGCCTCCTAGTGGGCAAGGCCAGCTGGAAGAAGGGGCAGGACCCACCTGGGAGGAGGATGATGAAATTCAAGGGTCCCAGTTTAGGGCCAAGTGTCAGGATTTGGGTCAAGGGTTGAGCTTTGGCCTCATCCCCATCTCCACTCTTTCCCACAGGGCTCCGGGCGGCATTGACGCTGCTGGAGTGCGGGGGGGACCTCCAGCCCCCCGGGGAGTCCCTGATCCTCCTCTGCCGGGGGTCTGGGTTCGATTTTGACAAATTTGACCTGTTCTGGATGCATCAGAGACCTGGGCAGGGGCTGGAATTCATCGCCAGCATCTACTACGGCAGTGGGGGTTACACCTTCTACGCGCCGTCGGTGAAAGGCCGGTTCAAAATCTCCCGGGACAATGGGCAGAGCTTCATGTCCCTGACCATAACCAACCTCAAGGACGAGGATACCGGATCCTATTTCTGCGCCAGATCTGCTCCTGGTTACTATAATTATGGTGCTGGTTATACTGACGGTGAAGGTCACCCCATCCCCAACCAGCATTAGGAGCAGCACCATAACCATCAGCATCCTTGGATCAGAAATAGGATCTGGAATCCTCGTCCTTGAGGTTGTTCATGGTCTGCGTCACCGAGCTCTCCCTGTTGTCCCTGGAGATCCTGAACTGACCCTGCACCGACGGCGCGTAGTAGGTGGCACCATTGCTCCAGATGGCTGCGATCCATTCCAGCCCCTGCCTGGGTCTCTGGCGCATCCAGCCTATCCCAAAACTGCCAAAATCGAACCCGGACCCTCGGCAGAGGAGGCGCAGGGACCCCCCGGGTGGCTGGAGGCCCCCCCCGCACTCCAGCAGGGTCACGGCCGCCCGGAGCCCATCCCCAAACCTTCACCAATTTCTCCCATAACTCCCCTTGTTTGGTCCCAAAACCCCACCAGAGTTTTCCATATCTCAACATGCCTCAAATCCTGCAATTAACTCCAATCAATTCTTTAATTACTTAGAAACCTCATCCTGAGCATTCTGCATTGATTGCACAGTTAATACACTGTGAACGACACCCAATTCCCCCTGGGATCCCAACCCGGGCACATCCTGGCTTTGGCCTCGAGCTCCCTCTGGCTCCTGGCCCTGCTGCTCCTGCTGCCCCTCCCAGGTGGCCCTGCCTCTTTTTCCTGGAAGTGACTTCCCTTTTCCCCTTCTGGACCAATCAGGTTTCCCATCCCCATCTCCCCTTTGTCCCGCAGGGCTCCGGGCGGCCGTGACCCTGCTGGAGTGCGGGGGGGGAACTCCAGCCCCCCAGGGGTTCCCTGTGACTTCTCTGCCGAGGGTCCGGGTTCAGTTTCCGGAGTTTTGGGATGGGCTGGGTGCGCCAGAGACCCAGGCAGACACTGGAATACATCGCAGCTATCAGCAACAGTGACAGCACCTGGTACGCGCCATCTGTCAAGGGCCGGTCCACGATCTCCAGGGACAACGGGCAGAGCTCGGTGACGCTGACCATGAACAGCCTCAAGGACGAGGATTCCGGATCCTATTTCTGTGCCAAGCGTATTTCTGGTGGCAATGCTGATATTGCCAGTGCTTTTGGCCATGTCCCCATCACCGTGTCCTCAGCTGTCCCCAGACCTCTCCCCTGTGGTCACACCTGGCCAGCGTCACCGAGCTCAGCCCGCTGTCCCTGGCCGTGCTGACCCGGCCCTTGACCGATGGAACGTTCCAGGTGACTCCACCCTTAGACCCATCTGCTTCTCTCAGCAAGGAGCCCTTGGCTCCAGATCAATTTCAGCAATTTCATCTCATCAAAATTTCAGGCGTATTTGGGAAAAAAAAAGGGTTTTTTCTCCAGAGCTCCTAGAGAGGATTCCAGCCCAGCCACAAGGAGCAGCCCCAGACACCGAGGCCACTGAGGGAGAAGTGAAGTCCCAGGTGGGAGCGAGGGAGGGAGGGAGGAGAAGACGCCGCTATTTTGGGGCTCTGCAGCCTCCCACCACTTCCTCGCTGGCAGCTGCCGGGGCCCGGCCGGGGCAGGAAAGGAAACAGAAAGTTCCTGGTTTTGGTCATTGTGAACATCTGTGTTTGGCAGAGGGCAGCTCAGCCTCGGGGCGCTGCAGCAGAGCACCGGCTGCACAAAAATCTTTGGGCGCAAATAGCCCTGGAGCGATCCCCATGCCACACTGGGACGGAGGGGAAGGGCCAGACTGGGGAGAAATGGGCAAAATTTGGGGAAATCTGAAATTGGGAAAGTGATGGTGGTGTTTGGCGGAAAATGGCTGAGATGTGAGAAAAAGAGCCGGGATTTTGGTTAAGGATCAGAGAATACTGTGATTTGTGGGAACACAGAAGAAAGGGCTTGAGGCCACAACCAGCATCAAAACCATAGGCATAAGCAGCATTACCACAGCCAGTGCTGTAACATTTGGTACAGAAATAGGAGCCGCAATCCTCGTCCTTGAAGTTGTTCATGGTCAGCGTCACCTAGCTCTGCCCGTTGTCCCTGGAGATTGTGAACCAACTCTGCACCGATGGCGCGTGCCATGTGCTGCCACTGTTGGTGATAGCTGCAATGTATTCCAGTGTCTGCCCGGGTCTCTGGCGCACCCAGCCCATCCCAAAACTGCCGAAACTGAACCAGACCCTCGGCAGAGGAGGCGCAGGGACCACCCGGGGGGCTGGAAGTCCCCCCGGCACTCCAGCAGGGTCACGGCCGCCCGGAGCCCTGCGGGATAAAGGAGAGATGGGGATGAGGCCAAAGCTCAACCCTTGACCCAAATCCTGACTCTTGGCCCCAAATTGGGACCCTTGGAGTTCATCATCCTCCCCCCAGGAGAATTCTACCCCTTTGTCCAGCTGGCCACACCCACTTGGAAGCCCCTGACAAATCAGACTTTTGATTTCCATCCTCTCCCCTTTGTCCCGCGGGGCTCCTGGCGGCCATGACCCTGCTGGAGTGCAGGGGGGGGGACCTCCAGCCTCCCGGGGGATCCCTGCGCCTCCTCTGCCGAGGGTCCGGGTTCAGTTTCGGGAGCTACGACATGTTCTGGGTGCGCCAGAGACCCGGGCAGGGGCTGGAGTGGCTCGTGTGGATCAGGAACGATGGTGGCAACTCCGGCTACACGGATTCAGTCAAGGGCCGGGTCACGATCTCCAGGGACAACGGGCAGAGCTCGGTGACGCTGACCATGAACAACCTCAAGGAAGAGGATTCCGGATCCTATTTCTGCGCCAAATGTTACAGCAGTGGTTGTGGTCCTAATATTGATGCTGGTTATGATGACGATGCCAGTGGTGGCCCCTCCTCGATACTGTGCCCACAAACATCCCAAAACCCCACATTCTACCTCCAAATCTTTAGTGTTGGCCACAAATCTTGACCGTTTTTCCCAATCTCCCCAATCATTGTCTCACCTCACACATTTCCATGGGGCTTTCAGAATTTGAAATAATTCTCAAAGGTTCATCCCCAAAACCCTACCCTGTGTGCCCCAGATTTCAGCGGGGTTCACTTGTGACTATTGGCTCCAAACTCAGCTGGCTCTACCCCAAATCTCAGCTATTGGCGCCACACCTCAGCTCTTGGCTCCAAGGCTCAACCAAGGCTCTCAACCCTCAGTGCAAATGGTCAAGATTTGGGAAAAATGGTCCAGATTTGGGTCTGTGGGCATCAACAATGGGGTGAAGGGCAGGAGGGAAGGACCTGGTGAACGGGGATGGAGACAGGACCAAAATTAGAACCAGCAGCATGAGCCTCTCAACCCCAACCATCATAGGCGCTTTTGGCACAGCAATAGGATCCGGAATCCTCGTCCTTGAGGTTGTTCATGGTCAGCGTCACCGAGCTCTGCCCATTGTCCCTGGAGATCGTGGACCGGCCCTTGACCGATGGCGCGTATCTGGGGGTGGAATCATCACCGTTGATCGCCGCAACGTACTCCAGCCGCAGCCCGGGTCTCTGGCGCATCCAGAACATTGCAGATTTTTTGAAATTGAAGCCAGAGGCGCGGCACAGCAAGTTCAGGGACCCCCCAGGGGTCTGGAGGTGCCCCCCGGACTCCAGCAGGGTCACGGCCGCCCGGAGCCCTGTGGGACAGAAGGGAGATGGGGATGAGGAACCTGATTGGCTGTGGGCATGAATGGGTGGCAGTGTCAGCTGGAAAAAGAGACGGGACCCACCTCGGAGGAGGATGATGAACGCCAAGGGTCCCAATTTGGGGCCCAGAATCAGGATTTGGGTCAGGAGTTGAGCTTTGGCCTCATCCCCATCTCCCCTTTGTCCCACAGGGCTCAGGGCAGCCGTGACCCTGCTGGAATGCGGGGGGGACCTCCAGCCCCCCGGGGGGTCCCTGCGCCTCCTCTGCCGAGGGTCCGGGTAAAGTTTTGGTGGTTATGCCATGCACTGGATCTGCCAGAGACCCGGGCAGGGGCTGGAATGGCACGCGGGAATCAGCAGCGGTGCTGTTTCCTACACCGACTACGCGCCGTCAGTCAAGGGCCGGTTGAGGATATCCAGGGACAACGGGCAGAGCTCGGTGACGCTGACCATGAACAACCTCAAGGACGAGGATTCCGGATCCTGTTTCTGTGCAAAAGCGAGTGGTGCGGGTAACCCTGCTGCTGCTTATATTGACCGTGTCGGTGGTGGCACCACCCCTGTCTGAGCCCCACTGTCCGCAATCCCAGACTGTTCCCCCCCAAACCTCAGCCCTTGTCCCTTTGTCCCAAATCTCCCCCATTTGCCCCAATGGTCAGCACTTACCCCAAACCCTCCCCTGCTCCTGCCCCACATGTCAACCATTGGCCCTAAACCTTCAAGCCTGGGATCCAGGTCAGGCCTTGCTCTCCAAGAATTCCCATTCCTGCCTGTCCCAGCTCAGCCAATCCGGGCCTGTTGAGATGGCAAAGATTTGGGTGAAATGGGCAAAATTGGGGGAAAGTCCAGAGTTGGGGCAGCAGGGGCAGAGTTTTGGGGGGAAATGGCTGAGATTTGAGGAACAGGACTGGGGTTTTGGGGAAGGATCACTGGGGAATGCAGACTTTTGGTGACCATCATGGGGGGTGCCACTGCAGGAACTGTTGCCAAAACCATCAGCAGTGTTACCAGCATCACCATCGAAACGTCTGGCACAGAAATAAACAGCGGAATCCTCATCCTTGAGGTTGTTCATGGCTAGCGTCACCGAGCTCTGCCCGTTGTCCCTGGAGATCCTGAACCGGCCCTGCACCGAATCCGCGTAGTCGGTACTGCCACCTTGGCTGATCTGTGCAATGAATTCCAGCCCCTGCCCGGGTCTCTGTCGATACCACCCCATCCCAAAACTGCCAAAACTGAACCCGGACCCTCAGCAGAGGAGGCGCAGGGACCCCCCGGGGGGCTGGAGGTTCCCCCCCGCACTCCAGAATGGTCACGGCTGCCTGGAGCGCTGCAGGACAAAGGGGAGATGGGGATGAGGAGCCTGATTGAGCAAGCAGGGGAGAAGCGGCGTGGTTTTTGGAAAAAAGGTGTGGGGCTCACCTGGGAGGGGCAGCAGGATCAGCAGGGCCAGGAGCCGGCGGTAGCTCATGGGTGTGGCCAGGATGTTCCCGAGTTTGGGTCCTGGGGAAAATTGGGGGTCGTTAACAGTGTATTAACTGTGTAATCAATGCAGAATGCTCAGGATGAGGTGTCTAAGTAATTAAAGAATGGATTGGTGTTAATTGCAGTTTTAAGGCATGTTGAGATATGGAAAACTCTGGTAGGGTTTTCGGACCAAACAAGGGGAGTTATGAGAGAAATTGGTGAAGGTTTGGGGATGGGCTCCGGGCGGCCGTGACCCTGCTGGAGTCCAGGGGGCACCTCCAGCCCCCCAGGGGGTCCCTGCGCCTCCTCTGCCGAGGGTCCGGGTTCAGTTTCGGGAGTTTTGGGATGGGCTGGATGAAGCAGAGACCCGGGCAGGGGCTGGAGTTTGTGGCGAGTATCACCAGTGATGCTGCCACTCCCAGATACGTGCCGTCGATGCAGGGTCTGTTCAGGATCTCCAGGGACAAGGGTCAGAGCTTGCTGACACTGACCATGAACAACCTCAAGGACGAGGATTCCACAGTTTATTTCCGCGTTAAACTTTGCAATGGTTATGCTGGCAATGCTTTTGAAGCTGGTTTCGGAATCAATCATGCCAGTGACCATGACGGTCATCAAACGTCTCCCATCCCAGAGATCCTTCCTGCAAATCCCCGCCCTTCTCCTCAAAACTTCACCATTTTCCCCCAAACTCTGCCCCTGCAGACCCAACTCCCCGTTTTCCTCCAATTTTGCCCATTTCTCCCCATTCTGGCCCTTCCCCTCCGTCCGAGTGCGGAACGGGAATCGTTCCAGGGCCCTTTGCACACAAAGCTTTTTGTGCAGCCGGCGCTCTGCCGCAGCGCCCCGAGGCTGAGCTACCCTCTGCCAAACACAGATGTTCACAATGACCAAAACCAGGAACTTTCTGTTTCCTTTCCTGCCCCGGCCGGGCCCCGGCAGCTGCCAGCGAGGAAGTGGGGGGAGGCTGCGGAGCCCCAAAATCGCGGCGTCTTCTCGTCCCTTCCTCCCCCCAACGCTCCCACCTGGGGCTTCACTTCTCCCTCAGTGGCCTTGGTGTCTGGGGCTGCTCCTTGGGGCTCGGCTGGAATCCTCTCTGGGAGCTCTGGACATGGCGACGACGCTGGTGGTGGCCCCAAACCCCTATCCCTGTCTCCCCAAATCTCCCAAAATCCCCAAATCCTGTCCAAAATCCCAACCCTTGACCCCATTCTTGACCTTCTCCCCCAGTGTCCACCACCTTTGCCCCAATTTCCAACTTTCCTCCAGTTTTGCCAATTCCACCCAATTCTCCGCCAGCTCCCTGGACCTGGTTGGAGCAGGCCTGAACTGGAGGCTAGGGGTTAAGATTTGGGGCCCATGGTTGAGTTTTGGGGCAGGAGCAGGGGAGGGTTTGGGGTCAGTGCTGACCATTAGGGCAAATGGGGGAGATTTGGGACCAAGGGTCAATGGGTGAGGTTTGGGGGAAGGGTCTGGGGACCCGAGACGGGGGGGACATGGGGACGGGGGTGGATCCACAACTGGTGTCTTCAGCATATGCAGCAGCATCGCCCCAATTGCCAGCAGCAGCAGATTTGGCACAGAAAAAGGATCTGGAATCCTTGTCCTTGAGGTTGTTCATGGTCAGCACCACCGAGCTCTGCCCGTTGTCCCTGGAGATCGTGAACCGGCCCTTGACTGAATCCGCGTAGGCGGTGTCCCCACCATCATTCCTGATCCCCGCGACCCACTGCAGCCCCTTCCCGGGTCTCTGTCGGGCCCATTGCATGGAAAAACTCCCAAAATCGAACCCGGACCCTTGGCAGAGGAGGCGCAGGGACCCCCCTGGGGGCTGGAGGTGCCCCCCGCACTCCAGCAGGGTCACCGGCCACCCGGAGTCCTGCGGGACAAAGGGGAGATGGGGATGGGAAACCTGATTGGTCGATGGCCTCAAAGTGGGTGTGGCCAGTTTGGAAAAGGGTCAGGACCCACCTGGGAGGAGGATGATGAACTCCAAGGGTCCCAATTTAGGGCCAAGAGTCAGAATTTGGTTCAAGGGTTGAGGTTTGGTCTCATCCCCAACTCCCCTTTGTCCCGCAAGGCTCCGGGCGGCCGTGACCCTGCTGGAGTGCGGGGGGGACCTCCAGCCCCCCGGGGGGGTCCCCGACGTTGCTGTGCCGAGGGTCCGGGTTTGATTTCGGGAGTTTTAACATGGGCTGGATGCGTCAAAGATCTGGGAAGGGGCTGGAATTCGTGGCAGGGATCAGCAACAACGGTTCCAGCATTGGCTACGCTCCATCGGTGCAGGGCCGGTTCAGGATCTCCAGGGACAACGGGCAGAGCTCAGTGACGCTGACCATGAACAACCTCAAGGACGAGGATTCCAGATCCTATTTCTGCGCCAAGGGTGTTTACAGTTGTTGTGCTGCTTCTGATGCTGATGTTGGTGATGTTGTTCTTGGCCCTGTTCCTGTCCCTGTGCCCCAGATCATTCCCTCCAAACCCTGACTCCACTCCTGAGCCTGCGTCCCAACCCTGCCCTGCTCTGGCCCCAAATCTCACCTCCTAGCCCCAAATCTCCGCTCCTGGGCCCTCCGGATCCTCTTTATGCGGGAAATCTCCTGGTACCGAGGGCGCTTATGCTGCCGGTTATATTGAGAGTGCCGACCATGGCCCCATCCCCAACCAGCATTAGGAGCAGCACCGTAACCATCAGCATCCTTGGCACAGAAATAGGATCCGGAATCCTCGTCCTTGAGGTTGTTCATGGTCAGCGTCACCGAGCTCTGCCCGTTGTCCTTGAAGATCCTGAACCGACCCTTGAACGATGGTGCGTAGTAGGTGGCACCATTGCTCCAGATTGCTGCGATCCACTCCAGCCCCTGCCCGGGTCTCTGGCCCATCCAGCCCATCCTAAAACTCCCGAAACTGAACCCGGACCCTCGGCAGAGGAGGCACAGGGATCCCCCGGGGGAGTGGAGGTCTTCCCGTACTCCAGCAGGGTCACAGCCGCTCTCCGATCCCCAACCCTTCCCCAGTTTTGTCCCAAATTCCCTTTGTCTGGGCTCAAATATTCTACAGAGGTTTCCATTATTGTACAGTACCTTAAACCCTGATTTTAGCCCCAATCCACCCATTAATTAATTCGACAGCTCCACCTGGCTTTTGCATCGCCCCATCCCAATCTCCCCTTTGTCCCGCAGGGCTCCGGGCGGCCGTGACCCTGCTGGAGTGCGGGGGGGACCTCCAGCCCCCAGGGGGGTCCCTGACGTTGCTCTGCATTGGCTCTGGGTTCACTCTGGCCAATCACGACATGTTCTGGGTGCGTCAGAGACCCGGGCGGGGGCTGGAGTTGGTCGCCCACATCACCTACAATGGAGGCTACACCATCTACAGTCCGTCAGTGCAGGGTTGGTTCAGGATCTCCAGGGACAACGGGCAGAGCTCGGTGACGCTGACCATGAGCAACCTCAAGGACGAGGATTCTGGATCCTATTTCTGTTCCAGGCGTCACAAATATTGGGGCGCTGATTTAGTTTTTATTGACGATGCTCGTAGCGATCCCATGCCCTGGATGGTCACCAAATGTCTACAATCGCCACAGATTCTTCCCCAAAATCCCAACCCTTCTCCTCAAATCTTGGCTATATTCCCCCAAACTCTGCCCCTGTTGCCGCAGCCCTGGAGTTTACACAATTTTGCCCATTTCACTCAAATCTCCCCCATCTCCCTGATCTCTGATTGGCTGATCGAGCACAGTCAGAAATGGGAACTCATGGAGAGAAAGGCCTGAACTGGGGGACGTGTTTGAATGTTTGGGGCCAATGGTTGAGATTTGGGGCAGGAGCAGGGCAGGGTTTGGGGTCAGTGCTGACCATTGGTGCAAATGGGGGAGATTTGGGACAAAGGGTCAAGGGCTGAGGTTTGGGGGAAGGGTCTGGCATTGGAGACAAGAGGGGCTCTGATGGGGTGGTGCCACCACCAGAATGGTCAATATAAGCAGCAGCATCAGCGCTACCAGTATTGTAAGATTTGGCAGAGAAATAGGTGGCAGAATCCTCGTCCTTGAGGTTGTTCATGGTCAGCGTCACCGAGCTCTGCCCGTTGTCCCTGGAGATCCTGAACCGGCCCTTGACTGATGGCGCGTAGTAGGCACTGCCACTGCTGCTGATACTTGCGACTGGCTCCAGCCCCTGCCCGGGCCTCTGCCGATACCAGCCCATCCCAAAACTGCCAAAATCAAACCCGGACCCTCGGCAGAGGAGGCGCAGAGCCCCTCCGGGGGGCTGGAGATCCCCCCCACACTCCAGCAGGGTCACGGCCGCCCAGAGCCCTGCGGGACAAAGGGGAGATGGGCACCAGGACCAGCTGTGCCATTCTCATTCCCAGCACAGAGTCAGACACCATTCCCTCTTTCTCTCTGTCTCTCTCTCTCTCCCTCTCTCTCTCTGTCTCTCTCTTTCTGTCACAGGATTTTTCCTGGAGCAGCACAGAGAGAAGATGAAGAGGAAACAATTCCCATCTCTCCTCGCTGCTCCTGCTGTTTCTGCGCGAGTGGAAAGTGTCGGGGGATTGTTCCCCTCCAGGGATTCGTCATTTGGGTTCTGCTGCAGATCGTTTTGATTACTTGGCCAATGGGCTCCAAGGCATGACCTGGATCTGTCAGACTCTCACGGGGATTCTTTAGGATTTTTTCGTGTCTTTTGTACGGAATTCTTTAGTATATCTTTAGTATAGATGTAATATAGCTTTAATGAGATATAATATAGTATTAATGAGATATAATATAGTATTGATGAGATGTTATATAGAATAATGAGATACAATATAGCATTAATGAGATGTAATATAGTATTAATGGGATATAATACAGAATTAATGAGATATAATATTGTATTAATGAGATGTAATATACCATTAACGAGATGTAATATAGTATTAAAGAGATGTAATACAGTATTAAGGAGATATAATATAGTATTAATGAGTTATAATAAAGAATTAATCAGATAAAATATAATATTAATGAGATATAATATATTCTTAATGAGATGTAATATAGTAATAATGAGATATAATATTGTATTAATGTAATAAAATATATTATTAATGTAAGATAGTAGAGATTTAATAGAGCAATTGTTCAGCATTCTGACTCATGGAGTCAGATGCCGTGACCCTGCTGGAGTGCGGGGGGGACCTCCAGCCCCCCAGGGGGTCCCTGCGCCTCCTCTGCCGAGGGTCCGGGTTCAGTTTTGGGAATTTTGGGATGCAGTGGGTCCACCAGACAGCCAGGCAGGTGACGGAGTGGCTCGGGGGGATTAAGAGCGATGGTTCCAGCACCGGCTACGCACCCTCAGTCAAGGGCCGGGTCACGATCTCCAGGGACAATGGGCAGAGCTCGGTGACGCTGACCATGAACAACCTCAAGGACGAGGATTCCGGATCCTATTTTTGTGCCAAATCTGTTAATGTTTGGTATGATCCTGCTGGTGTTGTTTATAGATTTGACTGTGCCCCCCATCCCCGTGTCCCCCCCCATCCCCGTTGCTCAGACCCTTCCCCCAAACCCCCAGCCCACACCCAGCCCTTGACCATTGATCTCCACCTTGCTCTGCCTCCGCCCC